GCATACTCGTGTACAAATTTTGACATTTTTATCTTTAGCCGATTTAAAGATAATTAAGGATAATCATTTGGAGAGTAACAACTTCAACACATTGTATCTGGAAAACGCGCGTCTAAGAAAAAAAAAATTACATGAACTACCTCTATTATTTTCCCATGAGGATTCAAAATATTTTTAAAATCGGTTTAATTGGTTTTTCAAGAACAAAACTATGTGTAAACTGTTCGTCAAAACAAGATTGCAAATTTTAATTTAAAAAGACAAGCAAAAATTTATGCATTCATTTTACAGTTACCATTTTTTATAAAATAGTTACAATAGTTTATAAAATAAAATGTACATATAAGTTTTTTGAACAAGGAAATCATTTTGATGGAGATTAATTAAATTAATTTTTATAGACATAATTATTTATGAATTTCTGTTACTCCTGTTACACACGTAAATGGGGAGGGAGGATATCACCGAAATGTGACAATGTGTGACAAGGGGCAGGGGGGTCAAAAGTTTTGTGACGTCACATGTTAAAATTTAAAATACTAAAACGCGAAATTTAGATGTGAATAAAAAACTATAAAAATCTACGAACTTGATCTATATTTATTAATAATTTAGCATTCTCGCTATCTGAAATATTGGACTTTATGTTGATTTTATTAGATTATTTAATAAAAAAAAGTAAAAAATGAAAATAGCTGTTTTCTCTCGATTATTTTTAAATACATGCCTAAATTTAAAAAATGTGTGACGTCACATCAGGNTTGGCGGACAAATTTTTTGGGGGGTTTAAAAAATATATATCTTTCATTTAATCTTAAAAAAAAGTGCTGGTCATAACATGCCATGTCTATGCCAGATTGACATGTTTTCCTGAAAATCACGGGAAAACTTACCACTGTTGAATTTTCCCCGTAGTCAAATCTTGGGAGACCCGTCAAACTTAAACTGCACGCAAAGTTGCAGTGCTGTTTTTCTAGGGCACCGTCTGACGCATATACATTTTTTAACTTGATATTTTTAGCTTTTCTCATCTGTCTTAAGAAATTTTGACTTTTAACGTATTTTTTCCGTCTTCAAACCAACAATTTAACACCCTGTACATCGGAAACGTATCAAGTGAGATAAACTCACTCCCTCGGTTTTTTTAAAGCACAACGCGCTGTTTTGAAAAAGTCAGAAATGCACATACCTGCCGAAATAACTCCGCTATATCCACCCATCTGCCTAGCCTGACCATTTTCAGTAAGACAAGAGTCCTTACGGCCAGTAGAACTAAAGTGTCGACTGTCACAAAGTATCTTATAAGTAACATGAAGGAATGTATGCAAGACAAGAGGTCGAAAAAGAAATAACTAGTCAGGTACCGCCTAAAACATTTTGATTACATTAAAAAATTTTGGATGATGAAAAGAACGTGTAAACTCTACTGTTCCGAAAAAAGTTACGCTAGAACTAACGCTTCCGAAAGAGTACACTTCGCATAGATTTAGTGAATGATTAACACAAGGCATAAATAACGCTTTAGGATTGTGTTCTTTGATTTTTGCTTGTACACCACCATGAACTTCTACCATGGTTGCAGCGTTATCATATCCTTGAGCCCGACACAGATGTATGTCCATTGTCCAAGTTATCACACTCTAGTTACGTAAGGATATTTTCAGTAAGTTCGACTGTAGTCTTTACAGCTATAAGGGAAGAAGAAACCCAGAAACGATTCCTTCAATTCAACTTGATCGTCTTCAATATGAACATATCTGATCTACATGTGATATGTGGGGTGCTATCGAAAATAATTCCGAAATATCTTCAGCTTTCTTTGTCATCCACAATTTATTTTTCACCTCTTTCTCCAAAAAGCTGATTTTGACTCACTTTGAATGTCTTTGGGCAAATAAGAATCCATCCGTTTCCGTTTTGTACAGGCGATAGCATGTTGAATTCTTAGCGTATGTGCTTTTAGCACTGGATCATATTTCGACAATAGATTCTAAGAAATTCCCCCTATTGTCTGATGAAACCCCCACACTATGCCCTCTAAAAGGAAGGTTTTGACGTGCCAGGAAAAGAATAACATCTAAAAGACGACTCAAAATATCACGTCACTTCGTGTTTTCATAATCAAAGACCATTCGATGTTCATGGTCGATGGTTTTTTTGTAGCTTCAATCCATTTTCCAAGATTTTCCAGTTTGCAAAACAAGAGAGATGTTTCTCCAATTCTCTGTTCAGATACTTTAGGATTTAGTTTCTAGTCCAAACGGTATCTGTTTCGAAGAGCCCATATTTGGGTGAATCGTATATCCACGGAGATTTTTAGCTTTTTGGCTTTCAAAAATCACTAGAACTGAAAATTTTTCTATGCGCATAAAAAAAACGTGGGCTTAACTTTTGGTGGCACAATATGTTTAGAAAATTCGAAAAATGTCATATTTAATTATGTATCTTTTCAAGAGTTGATTTTAGGCGAAAATGGAAGAGAACCCCTAAATATGGGGTTAAAAAACAATACTTTTTAGGGAATTTTTTTGGGGTATTTAAATTGGGTATAGGACCTTTATAGTTGGCTCAAGGAAACTTCATGTTATGAAGTTATCATCACACCTAATTTCATCAAAATCGGTTCTATAGATTTTGCATAATAATTTTGCAATCCAGATTTTGAGAAAAAAATTTGCAAATTTTCAAAATTTTGCACAGCAAAAACCAAGGCCCTTAGATACCTGAAAATTTAATCACATCTTTTTGAAAAATTCGAATCCGTCAATTAGGAGAGCTATGGCGTTCGTTTAAACATTGGTCGAATTTTTGTACTATAATTTTGTATTTTTGTAATATANCAACCAATGCTTTTTTATACTGTTTTTCTACTCATCATCTGTTTCATCAAGAAGGTCACTTTCAACATTTTGCTATGTTTTTTGTATTTGATACCTAAGCCGATACTGCTACATACTTCAAAATGGATTCAGATAACGATTCGCGCGCAAGTTCTTTTGATTTCTTGAATTTTCTTTGCTGGAATCCACTAGGTCTATTTCGATTCGTATTGAAGTGAACAAAACATTAAAGCGTTAGACTTGTCTAATAATTTGGCCGCCACCGGATATACCAACAAGTACTTAAACAAAATTAATATAATTACTTACTTGGCGATTTTCGACGGGCTTAACATAACTTTGCTTTTTTCCTCGTGGTAGTAGCCAGTAAAGAATATTTTTGTCATATCAGCCACATGCATCAGATCCAAAACGCATTTAGTATAATAAATGTAGTCTTTTTTTTGCATTATTACTACGGACGCATCTACAGGAATAACCACGTACAGAGCGGTAAACAAAAAGAACATGAAGAACTCCCAATACAAACTGAAAAAGAGACATGCAATATACTCCAGTCGAATTAGATCATAAAATCTGAAAACTTGAAAAAATTATTAATAAGACAATTTATTGCACTTTATGACGGGAAAGGGTATGTAGAATAAGTGGCAAATTTACGTGTTTCTTCACTTTTTTTTCCACCCACGAAAATCTAGACGATCTATACTAACGCTAATTTTAGTTGGAATTAGTTCAAATATTATACAGGGTGAGTCAGTTTTTTGTAGACAAACTTTAACAGGAGATAGAACACATGTTTTTAAAAAGAAAAGTTCCTATAAACATATGTCGTAGAAGGCTTCGTTTCCGAGATACAGGGTGTTGAATATAGTTTTTTTTTCTCGAATTTTCATTATGACTTATAAACGAATGCTTAGATTTTTTTCATGTTTGGGAGATAGTGCCTATTAATTAAGGGGCATAAAACAAGCGATAAGGATGTTGATAAATTTGCACAGTGGCGGAGTGGAGGGGGTGCTCAACCCCTTTCATAAACAGAACATCTACGCCAATGACTATTTTTTAAAAAAAACTGTTGTTTTCATTATCTGCATACAGTTTAACAAAAATAATGTCCCTTCTGCTGTTTCGAAATTCCTGTGCGTTTCCGAGTTATTTTGATTTTTAATGTTTGATGTGGTACTAAATTAATTTATTTATTATCAATTATCGGTTAAATATTTAATTCTTTCAACCAAACCTACCAAAATATGGTTTGTTAAGGATTAAAAAAAGTCGAAATCTCTTATTCTTTATCTCTTTCCAATGTAGTCAAAATAAATATTTGTTATATCAAGCCATACTAAAGTACAAGAGTTTTATAAGTTGAAATCTGTTTAGTATACTAATTTTAACAATCCTTATTTATTATGTGCTGCGTAAATACTAATGTACTGCAACTAAATTACAAAAAAAAAACATTGAATGGACATTGATCGGTCAGTCGATAGCCGCACGGTTTAAGACGTCAGTCCTTTAATCGTGTGCAAATTTCTGCCCGGGTTCGATTCCCGCGGCCAGTAGACCGTAGATTAGCTATGATTGTACGGAGGATGGGCACCCTCTGTGCAGGTATGGTAGGGTGGAAGAATGTTGGCTTGGGTCAATGTGAGAGATTGACACCGGTTGGCATTTGACCACCCCCCTAATTAATGAGGTTTTCCAGGTTTCCCTCATTCATGCACTGAATGGTGGTTAGGGCCTACCAACATAAGTC